TGGGACACTCTTGTAGGACACTCTTGTGGGACACTCTTGTAGGACACGCTTGTGGGACACTCTTGTGGGACACTCTTGTGGTCACTCTCGTAGGAAACTCTGGTGGGGCACTCTTGTAGGACACTCTTGTGGGACACTCTTGTAGGACACTCTTGTGGGTCACTCTTACAGGACACTCTTGTAAAACACTCTTGTCGGAAACTCTTGTGGGACACTCTGGTAGAACACCCTTGTGGGACGGGACACTTTTGTGAGACACTCGTACGGGACACTCTTGTGGGACACTCTATCTGGGACACTCTTTTAGGACACTCTTGTGGGCCACTCTTGTGGGCCACTCTTGTGGGTCACTCTTGTGTCAAGCTCTTGCGGGGCACTCTTTTGGGACACTCTTGATACCACAAATCATCCCGCTCACCAGCGACACGCCGCGTTTACACCAGCATGTTTTTCGCTCCCCAGTGGCACGGCGTCACGCAAACACTTTTTCCACCAAGGCCGCGCAAATCCCAATGGCACTGCGACATCACGAACGTCGTTTCGCCACACGGTCTGCCCATACAATAGAAGCAAACATATCACATGATATCGCCAATCATCCCGCTCACCAGCGACACGCCGCGTTTACACCAGCATGTTTCGCGCTCCCCAGTGGCACGGCGCCGCGCAAACGCACTTTCCACCAAGGCCGCGCAAATGCCCATGGCGCTGCGACATCACGAACGTCGTGTCGCCACACGGTCCGCCGCCCACTAGAAGCAAACGTAGCACCTGATACCACCGACACGCCGCGTTTACACCAGCATGTTTCGCGCTCCCAAGTGGCACGGCGCCACGCAAATGCATTTCCCACCAAGGCCGCGCAAATCCCAATGGCACTGCGACATTACGAATGTAATTTCGCCACAGGGTCTGCCCATAGACTAGAAGCGTTTCGTACGAGACGTCCTCCAAAATATACGCGTACAGTCTCCAAAACGAGCGTTTCGTACGAGACTTCGTCCAAAAGTCACGCTTCGAGTCTGCAAGACGAGCGTTTCGTACGAGACTTCCTCCAAAAGTCACGCGTACAGTCTCCAAAACGAGCGTTTCGTGCGAGACTTCCTCCAAAAGTCACGCTTCGAGTCTGCAAGACGAGCGTTTCGTACGAGACTTGCTCCAAAAGTCACACGTGTCAAGTCTGCAAAACAAGCGTTTCGTGCGAGACTTCCTCCAAAAGTCACACGTCAAGTCTGCAAAACGAGCATTTCGCACGAGACTTTCTCCAAAACGAGCGTTTCGTTCGAGACTTCCTCCAAAAGTCACACGTCAAGTCTGCAAAACGAGCGTTTCGTACGAGACTTCCTCAAAAAGTCACGCGTCAAGTCTCCAAAACGAGCGTTTTTGTACGAGACTTCCTCAAAAACTCACATGTCAAAGTCTGCAAAACGAGCGTTTCGTACGAGACTTCCTCCAAAAGTCAAGCGGAAACACCACACATCACGCAGCCCTGCCAAGCAGTTTCGCGATTCCAGCCACTCCAAACAACACCCGCTCACACGCCAATCCCAATGTCACAGCGACATTCGCCTCTACCACAACTCACAACCTCACAATTCCCTGCGCCTGCCACGAATCTTTCCACGTCCACACGTCTAACGCGCACAAAGTACTGCGAAGTACCGCGCCTGCCACGAAAAGTGACCATATCATATCATGTGAGCTTCAACAAAATTTGCACCGCGCCACACGTTTGGAATGATTTCGACCCGTTCTGAGCACACTCCCATCCACCAAAATCGCCATTTCAGCTGAGACCTGTCACGAAAACAGAGCTTCGATGCAACACCCTGAAATGCAAACCCCAATGGCACGGCCGCATCCAGCACCCCAAAAACACCACTCTCCAAACGCTAGTCCCAATGGAGCTGCGCAGAAAACTGCGGATCTCACAAAACGCTGCGTCTGCGCAGTGAACTCAACCTCCACACTTCGACGTCTTACATTTCCAGACGTTTCCACTCCACGCTATTTCACACGAATCTGACACGTCACGTTTCCATCCAAAACCCTCTCCAAAAGCTTCCCCCAATGGCAGCGCCTTAGCGCCCTACTGCGGACGGTTGTGAACGCTCAGACAACACGTGGCGAACAAGGCTCTACCCCCAGACCCCCAGAGTTAAACGAGAACCATTCGCTACTCATTCGGGAAAAATGTCTAAAGGTCGAGTGAGTTGAGTGGCCTTCGCTTCAGTGCTTCTCCCAATCCACGCAAAGCAGATGCAGTCAAAGGACTGTCCTCTCCACAGGTGACCTGACATAATATGATATGATATGATATGATATGATATGATTGCGTAGGTACACAATAGAACCTAATCACAACTCTTGAACGAACCTGCCGCACGTTTAAATAAACTCATGAAGACACTTGATCCAGGCACCGAAACCCAAGCCTCGAACAGAACGACGTTTTCCTGCTCTCTTTCAACAGCCTCCTCCTGATGAACGTGATCAAACGCAATCCAAGACCCAAACAATTTCAACGCTACACCAGCCTTGATCCCAAACTAGTGAAGGCAACCTATGATTTTTGTTTGAGCATGTGAGTGAAACGTGATACCAGAGACCCCCAAAAGTATTGAGTAGAGAATCAAGGGTGAATAAGCAACTGTAGTAGAACACACACACGCACTTAGATGTAAAGCTCACTTGCATGAACATTCGATCAGATAGTGAGTCACCGATGCTTCGCCCTTTAGCTAACGGCAAGGTGAATGGTCACAGACACCGACATGTTTAACATCGCGCTTTATCGAAAATTGGAGTGACAGCTTGAGAAGCACCCCAACCAGGCACCTACGTCACTGGACGTCTCCAGTGATATCCTCAGGACACTGCAAAGGGCCTTCTCCACTCCCTTGCTGCATCAAGCGGTGCGTCAAGGCCGTACAGGAATCTCAAAATTCGGCATCAAACATGCTAGAGAGAAGCCTGTTGGAGAACCCTTAGAGATAGGGGTTGACACACACACACACACACTTATAGAAATGCGTACGGATGTGAACGCGGTGCCACACACCAGCCTAAGTAAAACCGCCTAAGGTGTCAGGTGCAAACACCACCAAATGACTTCCCTCAAAGCGACGAGAATCCTGCAAACCTCCAAGCTCAAAACAAGTGCGTGACTGCCGATGCAAACAGGTGCGATGGCTGGAATTCTTGTTCTAGTGACAAAGGGGGCCTGAAAGGAAATGAGGGGTGATCATCTTCGCGCAGGTACGGGCAATCTACGTCCAGATTGCATATCACAGCAAACTTGAAGTGTCTTCGTTGGGCGGTGACTTCAAGAATGCCCACCGCTCCCCTGCTCCAAACGAAAGGTTCCATGTGAGTCCAAGGGTTACACACACGCCTCCCCGAAGGGAGGCATGTGTGACCAGCGGGTTGCTGCCTCGCGAAGTACATCCGGGAGGTGTGCATGATGTCTTGGTCTGATGCTTGGCTTGCTTCATGGACTGCGGAGACCCACTTTTTGATCGCCATCATGGACCAAGCTGCGGGGGCATGGGCGGACACTGGGCGACAACCAGGCCAATTGGGGGTGCCACAAACGCCTTGGCGTCGGTGGTCTTGTTCGGAGCGGATGCTGGAGGGGCACAGCCCAGCCAGATCATCAGACCTTGACGAAGTCCAGAACTTGACCAGCTTAACCCAAGCATTGAGCTTCAAAGGCTGGCGCCGCGCTCCAATTGCACCCTCAACTGATCCAAACACTTTGTGAGCGCCGGCAATGTCCCCAGCGCGTAGCGCGTTCCATGTAACCCAAGGTGCTGAGAAAAGCTTGGGGGACGGAAGCACCACAAGGGCGCCCAGCAAGCTCTTCTAAAAAGTCGACCACCATAGACACATGCGTTGGTCACTGGACATTGTATGCGGCGTAAAGCCAATTGGCACAGGCGCATGCCACCGCACGCCTGAGAACAAACACATCAGAGCACAGGTACGCGAGGAAGCGCATGAGAGCACGCCGGCACCAGCGCACATATGTGAGCAAAAATCTAAAACCGCACATATGACAGCATGGCGCACCTATGTGAACAAACACATGGGGGCACACTCATGAGAGCACGGGTATGAGTGAGCACATGTATGAGCGCACGCATATGAGAGCACACCTGTGAGAGCACACGCATGAGAACACACTC